ATTCTATGCTATTCTTCGGACCTTCAATATTTTATTAAACATGACAAAGGACTAACACTTGTTTTGGAGTTTTTCTTTTATTTTTCTTGTGTATATATAGTTTTTTGATTACTTGATAATTGATTTGGTCATGAAATGTTAAAGAACTTATACACTATTATAAATAATAAATATTGATTTCTTTTATATTTGTATATAAAATTCATTTATGTTAGAAATTATTCATGATTATTTATACTATAATATAGTTAGACAAAGTTTTTAACTTGAAATTTGTAAACCTATAATTTTATGTTTTTTTTTTAAATTAATATTAATTTTCTTAATAATTTAATTTTATAGTTTTAATAGAATATATTTTTTTAAATAGATGTACATATATTTTGCACTTACTTATGTGTACTTAGATATTTTTTTTTAATAATTGATTTTTGTTTTAATTTATAAACGCTCCCAACACTATTCTCGCCGGACATTTAAGAGAGTTAATAGTGAAAGATTAAAAGTAAACGTTCAGAAAATTTTTGTTTAGTTTGTCTGAAGAATATTCCATCTCCCTCTCTCCTGAATTATCGTTGCTCAAAACTAACATTAGCAAAATTTGAATTTGCTTGTCCTAAGTTTTAGTATAAAAAAATTTCTATATTAAGAAAAAAAGATTAATAGTAAATGTCTGGATATATTCAGCGAATTCGACTATTGTTCACAGAATTCGACGCTCTTTGTTAAAATTTATTGTTATCAATACACGAAAACAGATGACATCAAAAAACAGTCGGCAATAAAATAGGATTCTTTACAGCCGTCGGTTAAAATCGTGGCGGTAATTTCATTTCATTCTCGGCAGCCCCATTTAATTACTTTAGTATGAATTTTGACATTTCGCCGCAAAAAAATGCTCTTGTTCTATTTTCAACATAAGTTCTACTTTATTATATTCTTGTTAAGCCATTCATAGGAATCAATTCATTTAATTAATTCAGAAACTATATGTTAAATATTAAAATACTATCTATTTACTTAGCACTTTTATAAAATTATTACTTTTAAAATAATAATAATTTTTGAATTACTAATAATAAAGCAAACAATAAGAACAAAATTTAATAATATAAAAAAGTTATAAAACAAAAGTTTCTTTTAAAAATTATTTGTTTACACAATTAGAGTAAAAGAGGTCAAAAAAAAGGCAGTGAGAGGAAGGTGAATTTACTTTCAAAATTATTAAAAATTCAAAAAAACAAAATGAAATTTAATTATAGGTTCTGGAAATTAAATGTATAACAATTTTGGTCTTTTGGTCTTGTAAAAAAAGTTTTATTTTAGTTAAGATGATTAAACTTTCAGTAAACTTTTCAATATTTGTTTTGAAAAGTTTTCTTGAAAAATAATGGTTAAAATTGGTTTTTGTCTTAAAAAAAAGGAATATTTGCAAAGAGCGTAAGGTAATAAATTTCAAATTTTCTAGTGATATGACGTTAATTAATTTATAATTTCGTCAATGAACACTTTGAAATTGGAATAGGAGAATATGATGGCGGTATCTGATCACTTGCGTATAAAAACAGAAAATATCAAATTAAATATTTGACGTCATTAATATAATACAAAAAAATTATATTTTAAAGGTCAGAATAAAATACAGGAAGCTTCAAGTAAATATTCTACAATATTAAAAGTAATTAAAATAAGTAACATTAATATTTCGTGTTAAGACAAATGTTCAATAGTATGAGTATAGATAATTAGTTCTCAATTCTCTCATTATTCACATACACTACTTTAGAAGTAAAATAAGAAACTTGCATTATAAGCGTTATAGATTGTTAATTTAACAAATTTTTATTTAAATTGTAAAAGAAAAACATTAAAATATGAAGGTTTAATTTATTCCCTAATTCATATTTATTGCGTTTATTATTATAATTATTTTATTTAATAATAAAATGAAAAATAAAATTAAGACTTTTATGAAATGCACGTGCTGACATACGAGAATAATAAACTTAATCAAATCAATGGTTTGTAAAGTAGCACATTTATTTCTCTTAAACAACTTTAAGTTTTTCAAAATTATTTTTTCTTTTCCTCAAATTTAATAGCCGAAAATTTAAAAATTTGCAAGTATTTTTCATAGAAAAAAAGAGATAATAGGGAGAAATTAAAAAAAAATCCTCTTTAAAGGTGATTTTACTTTTTCGTCGGCTTTAAGCTAAGCAAGTCAAATTAATTTTCTACTTTTTAATGGTTCGTCTAAAATAAGCTGAGCGGATTACACTTTATTTTTTTTATTACACTTAAATTGACATTTTTAAACAAGAATTGCAACAGTAGGTACATATTAAAAAAAGTCCCCGGACTTAAATTTAATTTGATTCAATTTTTTGAGAGAGATAAAAAAAGTTATAAAAAAATGTAGTTCTTTCGTAAATTGACGAACCGAAGAATTCAGCTCAATGAAGTATGTATATGTCATTTATAGATTTTATGTCTTTGATTTGAAAATACATACTTGTACATGTATGCATGTATGTATTTTCTTTGACATCAAACGGTTGAAATTTAAAACATACAAAGAAACAAAATTACCTTTGCGGAATCAAGAAGTTTTCAATTTAACAAAAATTAATTTCTCCACAAAGCGCAAAATTTGATGCTTTTAGGAAATGTTGGTGCAGGTTGGAGAGAAAATAACGGATTTCTGTGAGCAAGTTAAATATGACAAGTACGAGTATATTATTTTTCAAATTTACTGAAAATGTATTAAAATCCTTGTTAATTTCTTAAAAACATATTGATATTTTTTGGGAAAATTTAATTTTGACAAGCAAAAAAGATTTTTATTGCGTATACATACATATATAATATATATTATGCATGGTAAACAAGTGTGGTGTGTTGTATAAATATTTTTGAAAATAATTTCTGTAATTACATTTGTTTACACAAAGTTATAGTAAAATTTTTTTTTAATATGTACAATTTCAATTCATATTGAAGGTTATATCGTAATTCGAAATATTTTAATGGAAACTAACTGAAGGATAGTTAGTTAGTAAATAACTATAAATATTGATAAAAATGCGCTCTACACTATACATAGAAAACTTATTATTGAGTTTTATTTGTTTTGGATAGATGTTTTTTTTTTGGAATTGGCATGCCGTGTAAGGACAAAAAGACCTTTTTTTTCGTGTAAATTAAATTTTAGAATTAGTTTTTATATTTTTGTCCTATTGTGTTCATTTTGTATTGTTTTATTATTTATGTTTTAAATTTCAATTGAAGGTCTGTGTTATTCATTTATTACACTATTTAAATAGATCAATGAAATATTCAAAAACTAATTTAAGACACTGTATAAATTATGTACATTTTTTGTTAGTTTGTTAATGAATTTAATAAAAAAAATGTGATGTAATTGGCACGTAACCGGCATAAGATTATGAAAATGTCTTTTAAACACTTTACGAATTTCAAATTATGGAAAAAATCAAGTTTTTAGCTAGCATTCCTAGAAAAACATAAATTTGGTTCTAAGTAGAGGTTCACCCTACACTATCCCAAATCCTTAAGCTTGTAGCTTAGTTGCTATCGCGTAAAAAGTGTAATCATGTAAAACCATCCTCTATAGTGAAAATTTGGTTTCCGAACTGTGATTTTCTAAAAAAAACTTACTTCTTAAATGTTTCAACTATTTAAGTTGAAGTACTAAATTTGAAGGGTAAATAAGTTGATTATTTTAAAAAGATAACAAAAATGTAAATTTGGCTTCTAGTAAATATTGCTGGCATATTATGTTTTTGTAAAAGGCCATCTTGTAAAAGCTGGTTTTATTGTTAAACGAAGTTTAAAATGAAATTTCAAGAAAATCTGTTGAATATTTTTTTAAAAGAATTGAAAATGTAAAATCGACCAATGTAATCCAATTCCTGTAATCGAAATACTCCAAATGTTGATAATTCAGATATAAATATATGATTCTGTACCAAAATCGGTTCGGTCGAAATCGTAATACACGATTGCACACACAATAATACAGACCTGTATATATAGTTTGGTTCCGTTTCTTTTTCAAGGAGAAATGAATTCCTATATCGAAATTTCTACATTTAAAATTTAATGCATTCGAAAAACTTCTTTTATTCTTTGTGCAATGCGTTCAGTAAAAATTGAAGTAAGCTTCATTATCTTCAGCATTCGAATTGATTTAATTAACTAAAGTCTTTCGAACAAAAATCTTTCGAAATATAAGCAAATGTCTTGATGTAAGGCTTAGGATATCGTAATTTGGAGAATTCTTTAGCAGTTGTTATACGATTTTAGTTGCAATTTAGATTGTTATGTCATTCTGTAAGAAATTATTTTAAATTTTTGCATTTAAACTTTTTATTAAATAAATAAAATTCAATTTAAGTCCCTGACCAATTTATTTTCAATAAAAAATTATTTTATAACCTTAAAGATAAATTTTGCAGAAAACTTTTTTGCTAAGAATTTTTTAATAATTATGAGGTAAAAATAAACTTTCGAATTTATTTTTATATTTACTCACTATTAATATCAAATTTATTAGTGAATGTAGTCAGTCCTTATAAATAGTGTCCTTGTACTTATGCCTTCTTATTATATAAAAATTTCTAAAAAAACAAAAAAAACAAAAACAAATCATTAATTTTTTCCTTTTCAATTTCATTTTCAGGAATAACGCTGTTCAAATTACATTTATACGATAAGCTTAAAATACGTAAATTCACGCCTAAATAAAATAAAAAATTAAACATAATTTCATTTCATGAACAATTCAAAAACTAGTGAGTTTGAAATCAATAAAATTAGAATACAAAGTTATTTGTTATGTGTGTTTGTAGAAATGTAGTCGTCTTGTACATAAAATATAATTAATGTTCGTAAATTATATTGGTATATTCATGCATATTTAAGAATAAATATAAAATAAAGTGAAAATACATTCTAAAAACCAAGGAAATTTATTTAAGATGGCAACTAGATTAAATACAGCGAATTGGTCAAGTAGTAGTGGAAGCGGAAGTGGAAATTCGTCATCGGCTATTCCACCACCAACTGCTGTTTCAAATGTACAACCAGCTGAAGAAAGATTAGTGGTATAAATTTTAATTACTTATTTATTAAATTTTATTTTAGTTTTGATTTATTCGCTATATAGTTGTTGCGATTCATGAAATAAATTACTTATATTTAAATTTATTTTTAGATAAATTTTTTCTTTTCTCTCAACAATTTTTATTTTAGTTTAAGAATATTGCCTTGGAATTACTAATCTGATATGAATACGGGTAGAAATGAAATACATATATGTATGTACGTGTAAATTTGTATACGTTTGAATGATTTTTTACAATTTAGTATCTCGATTTTTCGTCTTGACCTTTCGACCACCTTCAACTTTATTGATTCTTTCATATATACGGTATGAAAAATGGAAAAGGTCTATTAATTTCAGTATTAAATTTAGTTAAGTTTACGAAATGATTTCACTCCTTATCTTCGGGGATAAAAGTCGTAATCCACAAAGATAGTGCATGTAATTTTTATTTTGAATCAATAAATCAAACATTCCCGTTATTAAAACTGCAACGGATACTGAATTGTCGACTGAAATGAAACATTTCTCGTACGTCTCAAGAAAAAAAATATAGAAGCGTCAAATCACTAATCTGTGCTAATTTACAGCATAAAATCACGAAAGAAATTGTTTTTCCTAACCTTTTGAGTGCACACATGTTCTACTTTTGTCCAGCAATATAATAAAAATGAGATCGTTTGTAAATTATCCAATTAGTTTACTTTGAACTCTCAAGAGTGAATGCAAAAAATTTTAGAATATAAGAAACTGTAAGTGTTTTAATTACACAGAGATATTAAAAAATTTAAACTCTTTAAGGACAAGAGACAAAAGTGGTACACGTGTACACCAAACCTCCCTAAAAAATATGTGTACACTCAAAAGGTTAATTAGTATTTGTTTTGTCAAATATTAATAGTCTGTCATTTAAATGTCATTTTTCCCATGGTAAAATATTAAGAACCGTTGGCAAATTTATAATACCCTTCGAATATACGATCGCACGGAAATAATAATCTGGAGACTGAAACAATGCCTTCTGAATGGTATACGGGTATAATATGCCCCCTCCACAAAAGGGGCAATCAACTAGACTGCGAGAACTATAGGGCAATCACGCTGGTAAACGTGACGTACAAAATATTCGCAATAGTTCTAGGAGAAAGGCTAAAACCATTCACAGAGAGAATACTTGGAAATTACCAATGTGGATTTCGAGCAGGGTCGTCGACCACTGACCAAATATTTGGCATCAGACAAATTTTAGAAAAAACAAAGGAGTTCGGAATTGATACATATCATCTTTTCGTCGACTTTAAAGCAGCCTATGATAACTTTGACAGACGAAAACTAATATAAGCTATGATCGACTTTAACTACCCAACAAAACTGATAAAATTAACAGTGATGACGCTTCAAAATGTTAACAGCGTAGTTAAAATACAAGGTAAAGTCTCCGGAAAATTTGATATAAACAGCGGGCTACGTCAGTGAGACTCTCTGTCCTGTCAACTGTTTAATATTGCGCTAGAAAGAATCATAAGAAAAGCAGGAGTAAAGACTTTCGGTACTATAATTAATAAATCTGTTCAAATATTGGGATATGCGGACGATATAGATATAGTTGGGAAAACAATAATGGCCACCAAAGAGGCATTTATAAAAATTGAAAAAGAAGCAAAAGAAATTGGACTAAGTATCAATGAATCTAAGACGAAATTTATGATATCAACACGCAGAGAAAGAAATGACCAAAATATAAGAGTAAATGATTATAAATTTTAAGTGGTTCAAGAATTTGTTTACTTAGGTTCCCGAGTTAACGATCAAAATAATGTCGCAGACGAAGTATCGAGAAGACTGATCCTGGCAAACAGATGTTATTATGGCCTACACAAGCAATTATCTTCACGTCTACTTGATAAACTAGTAAAAATAAAATTGTATAAAACTTTGATACTTCCAGTATTATTGTATGGCTCTGAAACTTGGGTATTAACTAAAGAACAAGAAAACAATTTAAATATTTTTGAAAGAAAGGTTCTCCGCCAGATTTATGGAGCAAAGCAAGAAAACCAAGTATGGATAAGAAGGTACAACAACGAGTTGTACGAATTGTATAAATAGCCAGATCTTGTGAAAAAGATTAAAATTGGGCGACTGAGATTGGCAGGATATATCATCCGACGTGAAGAGACCCATCTCACAAAGAAGATTTTTTTACAAAGACCTGAAGGATCCAGAAGACCAGGGAAACCTAAATTAAGATGGAGCGACTGCGTGGATAACGATGCCAGGCGAATAGGCGCACGAAACTGGCGAACTCTGGCGCAAGAACGAGACCGATAGAGGCAAATTTTAGAGGCGGCCAAGACCCAGTCCGGGTTGTAGAGCCATTGATGATGATGAAGGAAAAAATAATTGCCGTATTACAATATTAGTTTATGCAATATTTCTATTCTGTAATATTAAAAATGCCAAATAAGTTGTACGACAGCTGCCATGAGCGCTCATGATTTTTCTACAACTTTACCGAAAATCATATTTGTTTAATCTAAGTAGTTACCAAGATATAACCATAAGATACATAGAACCAAATAACTATTAAAGTTGTATATGGCAGCTAGTGCAAGGAGCTTCGAACATATGTTCAAACGAGCATAATAATCATGGGGAAAACTGATTTTAATGCTTTTGAATTAGCATGTACAGTATTAAGAGCAAGAGCAAACTTCCACACAAAATTTTTAAGTATTAAAGCAGGTTGCAGTGTAATTTTTATTTTAGATAAAAATGGAATTATATTTTGGGTTTCTTATCTTCTCTTAATTAGAAGATCGTTATACACATATACTTTTATTGTTAATTTTGATTTTATAGCAGTATTCGTGTACTTTAATCAAAATTGCTGAGGCCCATATTGAACCAAGATATTTTCAAAATTGTATTTTATTTAAAAACATAAACAAAAACTTCTCAAAATTATTATTCTTATGGTTATTCCTTCTACAATATACATAACTTCTGTATGTTGTCCTTAATGACGAAAAAGGACATAAATACTCATGTGCATGTTATGTTTACAACTTTCTGTAAAATTTAACTATATACAATATTTATTTTACATTTAGGTACATTAATTTATTTTTTTTTGTTGTATTTTTCTATAAACAAATTCAAGGTTGCTGTACGTGTACGTCCTAGTCAGGATATAAATGATCCTAGGTGTATTGAAGTAATTTCCGAAAAAGCTTTATTATTTGATGAAGGTGTTAAAAATCGACCAAGGAAATATGGTTACGATCATGTATTTGGAGAGGAAACAACACAGGTAATTTGAAAATAATTAAAGGTTAAAGTAATAAAAAAAATTTTTTTTTTTAAAGTAGAACAAGTTAAATAAATAAATGCATTGTAATAATTTAGGTAAATATAAGAAAAAAACGACGAAAATTCTATGTTATGAAGAAATTTACGTATTGGTTTTTAATTTTAAATACGATTTTTTACGGTCATTCAAGGGCCAAAAAACATAATTGTTAATGAAATTTTAAAAATGAAAAAAAATTACTCGATTACATCAATGGTGTGTAAAGTGGCACATTTCATTTTCATAACTTAAGTTAATAATTAAGACAATCTAAATAAATATGCAGTTCTAAAAGGGAGACAAGGTCGAAGAAGAAAGGTAGCCGAAAATGTTGTTTTTTTAAGTGAGATCTATTGACTTGGGGAAGGACAGCTTTTTTTATAGCAGAAAGAGGCGTAGAAAAATAGAGGTGAATGGATGGAAGAATTAATGTGCTAATGTGAACTGCCCAACGAAGACAACAGTTGGGCTGGTAATGACACCACATCTCATGATAACGCTATTAGTTGTATTATAATTAAAGCGGATGGTGGTATTATAATTAAAGTTTTCAGAACTTAAAACAAATTATTTTGCACCAAATGTATAAGGAACTTGACTCAAGGACATTGCCCCTTTTAGTTTGCGCGGTGAAATTTCTGAAAGATTGTTTTCGTGTCCGCGTGTTTCATTTTACCCATTTGAACACCGATTTAGTAGTTTTCTGACACCAACAGTAAGAATTTTAGTATTTATGACGAGATACCGTAACACTCTCTTTGTTAACACTAAATATAAACGTCATATTCTTCTACTTTCAAAAATTAAACTTTCTACTGCTAAATTGCTTATTTCTTTTTGATAATAAAACTTAAATATTTGTGAAACCATAAATAATAAAATTCAGTTTCATTGAATTTTTTTTTCTGCTCTTACTAATATAATGAAAAATATGTGATAATAAAATATTAATATTTAATTTTAGGAAAATGTTTATAAAACTACAACAGCTCCATTGGTAAAAGATGTTTTAGATGGGTTTACAGCTGCAGTTTTTGCTTATGGTATGTGAACATTTTATACTTCAAAATATTTAATTAAAAAATTATGGAAGTTTTTATTATACTTTTCTATTAAATTAAAATAGGAGCAACTGGTTCTGGAAAAACTCATACAATGCTTGGTCCTAATCCAAAAAAAGTTGGTACACCATCTACAAGTAATGGTAATATTGAACCAGATGGTGATGGATTAATGGTTCGTGCTATCGATGAAATATTTCAACATGTTGAACAAGGAGAAAATTCAAATTCATATAAAGTTAGTATAAGGATTGCAATATTTTTTTGAATAGTTGGAAAAGTCATGATTTATTGTCCCGAATTACTGTTTCAAAGATTGTTTTAATATTGAAAGTTTTATTTGGCTTTAAAATCGTTATTCTCTTCTTTTATATCTTCCTTATCGAGTTTCCCAGTGGTTAACTAAATTTGATTTTATACAAATTTTATATTCTGTCAAATTTTATATTATGTCATTTAGATGTTTAATATCAAGAAGAATAGATATAGTAAATACTATAGCAGATTTCTCAAATAACCTGAACGTCAAATAACAAAACATAAGAAACAAAATACTAACGAGCATGCTACAGAAAATGTGTGAATGTTATTCAGTTTTTTTTGAAAATGCAGCCCTGAATTAGTATTACTTTGACAGTAATTTTATTAAAAAAATAAATATTTCTCAAGCTGTCAAAATAATATATTTGAAAAATCGTTACCATTGTACGAAAGAATTGCCATCCCTTTCGAACATTTTAAATTGTTTCTATCTTTATTCGAACTAAGATCAACTACCGAAGTACTTCTGAATTTACAAAAAAAAAACACTAATACCTAACGAGGTTATGTTTGTACTATAACCAATTAAGATTGTTGCCGGTCCATCATTAATCCTTCATTTTGCTTAAAAAATTTAAAGTTGTATTGAGCTTAAAAAAGTCCAATTGCATTAAATCAGTTAATTCTTTAAATATTAATTATTTAGCAAACAAAAACATAACCTATATTAATTTACCTATTAACCTAAATTTTTTTAGCCATATCAAGGCATGATTCTTTACAAATTAAATTCAAAAATTGCATAATATTTTCCTTCGAAATTCTTTCACAATTTTTTCATATCAATCTTCATTCTTTATTCAAAATTCATTACAATTTCCCATAAATTCTCCATAAATTTAGATTGAACTAATTGAGAAATCAAAAATTTCAATATTTTTATTTAAGGTGAACATGTAACATTTAGTAGTATATAATATGGTACATACATATACTGCATAAGTAAGAGTGTAAACAATAATATCATGTAGGTAATATTTCAAATAACAATTTTAAAGTGTATTATAAATTTAATTTCACTTCCAACGTCACGGATTAAGTGTTTGTTGTAATGGAAAATGAAAATTTTGCACGTGGTATCTGAACTAAAAGTGCTACGAAAATCGAATTGTATGCTTATTGGATAGTCTACTGTACCAGGTTTCTAATAAATGTCTAAAAGTACCGTTATGTCTTACGCAGCCAAAATTACACTCTATTTTCGATAAGGTGCAAAAAAAAAATTATTATCTTCTCTTTTAGAACCCCTAGCCCCTAAACCGGTTCCGAAAGAGGCTTACTGTAGAACAATTTTTTCTCTACACAGGAAAATCTACATACTAATGTATCTATGAATCATCACTCTAGCTATGAATCATCCTGTATTCCTTGGAGTTGTATGAATTATAGTCTATTGTAAAACTATTTAGAATAATTTAAACTTGATTTTATTTTAAACGTTTTAGTAATTATTTAATAAAACAATTTATGCTGCCACAATTGAAATCAATCTTATTCTCAGTAACCGTCCATTTCTTTTTCGGAATGACCTCCTATTAAAATGATTTTGCCCCAATTTTTCACAATATCTCACACATAAATTCACATTTCATAATAATAGTAAGAACCCCTAAAAGGGAATGTAATATCTAAGAAAAATGGAGCACAAAATCAAAATAATAAAAAAAGGAAAAAAAAATCACAATAGTTAACATGTTGGGTCAAGTAAATTCAGAGTCAAGTAACGGCTTGAAAATCCTTTTCATATATTTAATAAAGGGGAACATATTCCAAGTTAAAAAAAATATTTTTAGAATTTTTTTATGCCAAATATTTATGAACGATGATTAAGGAGTTTTACAATTATAACCCTGGTGTTTTTTTTTCTTATATTTTTTTATTTATCAAGATAAGAACTTGTGTATTTTTATTTTATTGTGAGGTTCAAGGACATTTTTATATTTTCTCGTCAAACTAACTCAATTTTTGGAAAGAAAAAGTCTAAAAGTATATATGAAAGGAAAGAAAGAAAAAATGTCTTAGCGACCTGATTATAATTTTTACCGACCGTATTGTGTAAACAATAGGTAGGTTATGTGATGGCAACAAATTTTGCATATCGAGTTTTCGGTGGGAACGTACTTCTCCATAGTAGGGAAGTGTAAATAAACTATTTTTAGCAACCTGTCGGTCTGTCGGTCTGTCGGTCTGTCCGTCTGTCGGTCTGTGTGTGCACGCGTGTATCTCAAGTTCGGCTGAACCGATTTTGATGAAATTTTATATGTAAGTTTGTTTCCACCATGGCACGGATCGATCAACTTTTGGTATATATCAGGCCTCGGGAACTGCACTTTTTAGCGGGCCTGTTTTACATTTTTGAACATTTTGAAGAAAATATTCAACCGATTTACTTGAAATTTTATATATAAGCTCAGCTCGACCGTCCGCAAAACTTCGTATGTTTTGGAAGAAATCAGGCATCGGCAACTAGACGTTTACTACGGGCCAAATATACATTTTTGTGTATATAAAGAGAAATAATCAACCGATTTCATTGAAATTTAATATATGAACTCCTCGTATTAAAACAATGAACATATAAATTTTTTGGAAAGATCAGGGCTCGAAAACGGATTTGCGGGCCGATTTTACATTTTTCACCATTTTGAAGAAAGTATTCAACCGATTTACTTGAAATTTCATGTATAAGCTTTGCTCGATCATACGCAAAAATTCCTAACTTTTGGAGGAAATCAGGCATCAGCAACTGGGCGCTTACTACGGGCCAAACATACACTTTTGTGTATATAAAGAGAAATAATAAACCGATTTCATTGAAATTTAATATATGAATTCCTCATATTAAAGCAATGAACATATAACTTTTTTGGAAAGATCAGGGCTCGAGAACTGATTTGCGGGCCGATTTTACATTTTTCACCATATCCACAGAACAAATTGATGGAATTTCTTGAAATTTGATATTTGAGTTCTGGTTGTTACCCAAACTAACTGGCGAGCATTTCAGGGAATTCGGGTAGCACAAAGCGAAACTCTACTAAGAGCCAAATTTACATTTTTCTAAGTATGTTAACTATAAGCTTACTAATGTCCTAAAAATTGGAAAGAAGTATTTAACAGACATTTTTATAATATTCTATAACACTTTCATTTAACTAGACCATACACAATGCGGTCGGTTATGTGCTGACCACATCAGATTTTTTTTTTATATTTACACCAATTTAGGACTATGCGGGTGATTGTTTTAAATCATAACATCGCGTTAAAAAAAGAATTTTTATTTTTCAAATTGCGTGCTAGGATATTAGTGATAAACACGTGAAACTGAATTAATATGTGAATTTCCATGTATGTAGGTATATGTGTATACTTATTACATTATATTAGCCTGAATGTTATTAATAATATACATACAAATATACATATGTGCATATTTAAGTAATTGTGGTAAAGTAAAATATTAAGTGGCGGATCTAGTTAATAAGTCAGTAGATAGTTGCATGGATTATTGAATGCAAATATTTTGTGGTTTCTATTAAAAATTTTCATAATTTTTTTTATTTTATAGAAATAAATCAAGTACTTACAATTTAAAATAAGAGTGTAATAGAAAACGAAATTATATTCGTTAGCTTCAAGCTTCAAGCACTCATCAAGCAAATACAAATTATGAATCTATAAGGAAATCGAATTAGAAAATAATGTACATTTAAATCTGCAAATAATCTTAAAAATTCATTAGTTTTTGATTTTATAAATTAAAATTTCAGTTTACATTAAAATGCCTCAAGGCAATGTTCTGTGTCCTATATACGTATACTTTATACAAGTGATTTGCCAGTGTTGGAGGATGTAATTATGGGATTACATTTGTTGATAATACAGCAATATTGGTAGTAGAACTTAATGTTGAAGAACCGATAAAAAAAAATACAAGAAACAATAAATTAGCAATGTAAGAAATGGAGAAAAAAATGGATAACAGAGCTAAATGAAAGTAAATCTTTGCGTATGAATTTTATAAGCAAAAATTTACTAAGATCACCACAATTGAATTTAAATGGTGCCAGAGTATCAACTTAAAATAAAGCGAAATATTTTTGGTGTCCACTCATTTGGGTCTCCTCGAAGTAAGTCAAGAAATATGAAACTGTACTATGAAATATAGGAGGCGTTTGAGAACTTAGGATTAGCATGTGAATATTGAGGTGTCTTGACTCAAAATTTACTTTCAAGTTTTCTTCATAATAATTCCTTGTGATTACAAAATTCGCTGAAAATAGCTTTGAATTCAAACTACAATAAATAATGCATTATGAGAAAATGTTTCAAATTCTAAATATTTTTTGAATATCGCGTGTTAAAAATTTACCTTAGGACCATATAAATGCCTTACCACGAACCTGAATGAATTTCTAAGACATAAAATATTTTTGTTTTAATAAAAACTAATTTAGTGCGAATACAGTAAAAAAATTAAAAAACAAACGCTAGAATTAATTATCGATTTAAAAAATTTTGAAAGTAATTAAATGTTATTTTGGAAAGTCCTGCCATATATTTTTTAATTCAAACAAACAAACATTAATTTAATATTCATTTCCGCAATTTAATAATTACGTGTGACCTAAAAAAAATGTAAAAAGAAAAATATAAAATTGAAACAACCAAAGGGTAAAAAATTTTATTTTGATTGTTTGGGTTTATGTCAAAAGTTTTACAGTGCGTAAATTGTATGAATGAATGTTTTTACCGTTATGAATGTTTGATTGAAATATTGCCTTGCCATATATATTTACGATATTGTGACATTTATGTACATATACATGTATTTTTGTGTTTTACAAAAATTTCTCTGGCTCTGAAGATGAAATTAAAAAAATAAATTATACTTAATGAAATCTAATGAAAATAAAAAATTAATTATATTAAAATTATATTAAATATTAAATTGAAACAGATTAATAATTTCCTATACTTATATTTTTAGGTGTCGATTTCTTATTTGGAAATTTATAATGAATTAATACGAGATTTATTGAATCCTGGTGGTCCTCTTGAATTAAGAGAGGATAATCGTGGTCAAAGAATAACTGTTGCTGGCCTTAAAGAAATTGCAGCTATAAGTAGACAAGAAGTCATACAATTATTATTAAAAGGAAATAAAGCTCGTACAATAGAGCCAACAGCTGCTAATCAAACATCATCAAGAAGTCATGCCCTTCTTAGTATAACAATATTAATTCGAACCTCTATGGGTACAAAACAGGGTAGACTTTTTTTAACGGATCTTGCTGGTTCTGAAAGAGCTAAAAAAACAAAAAATCGTGGCAAACGATTACAGGAGGGCGCACATATTAATCGTAGTCTTTTAGCTTTAGGTAACTGTATAAATGCTTTATCTGGTGGCGCTAGATATGTAAATTATAGAGACTCGAAATTAACACGATTGCTTAAGGAAGCTTTAAGTGGTCGTTGTAAAACTGTTATGATTGCACATGTCGCTCCCGAAACTAAACATCGCGATGAAACAAAAAATACTTTAGTTTATGCGGATCGTGCTAATAATATTACAACAAAACTTCAAAATACCGGGTATATGGAAGACAAACACGAATTCCCAATGAAACATTATCAAACTTTAGTTAGTGAATTGCGAGAAGAAGTAACAAGATTAAAATCAAAAATGTTAACCGAAAGGCCAAGAAGTGGTGTCGCCGCAACATTAAATAATAATAATGTTAATGATGAAAAAAGAAAAGCTGAATTAAGATATTTAAGAGAACAAATTGTATTGACATTTAAGCAACAAATGAAATTAAGACGTAAGTTGCTTGAATCTGAAAGTCATTTATTGGGTTTGGAACTTGATGCAGAGCGTCAACATATGATAATATCACATTGGCAAGGTAGAATGGGAAAACTTTATGATACCCCGGCAGAAGATGGTATAAAAAATTTTATTAAATTTTATATTGATTGTAATGAACTAAAAAAAAATTTACTTTCATTTATTCTGAGCTAGATGTGGAATCAGAAGGCATGATTGCACTTAAAAATGCATGGGGTGAACTAGCCGCTATTGAAAAGGAAACAAGAAGGTATCGTGAAATTAGAGAAAGAACGGAACAAGAATTAGAATTGTGTCGGCAAAAAGGGGTCCAACTAGAAGATGAGCTTCCTGAAAGAATAAGCAGTGATGAAGAGAGAGAACTTTTAGGTAAAATTGAGTTAATATTGTTTTAAACTTATGTAATGCGAGGCATAATATATCTGGTATAATCAAAGTTTTATGCATTTAAAGTATAAACATATTGCAAATTCATACAACATATTCTGTAAAACTTAAAAGAATCAAATTATTATAGCATTACTCTGCCGTGTTCATGAACTGGAAGCGGATAAAGTTTCATTACAAGCAGAACGATTAGCACGTCAAGCTGAATTGCGTAGAAGAGACTTACAATTACTAAGGGCTGAAAGACAAAGAAGACTATGTGAAGATATCATAAGTTCCCAAAGAAGATTAATTGAAGAAGAGAAAGTTGAATTACCTGATGAATTACGAGAGTTATATCAACTTTACCAGCAGGAAATTCATGCATCAATAACATCAAACTCGATTAATTCTACTGGTAGTTCAGAGAGGAAATTACCACCAATTTATTCTGCAGGGTACGATTGTATAATTTATTACATTATGTAAAATATTTATCTATTTTATTCAAGGTCAAGTTCTGGTTCTGATTGGGCGCCTTCCTCTCCTTTGTCGTTTTTAAATGATGGACCCGATAAACACATGGGTGCGCCAGTAAGAACTTCCCGCCTTCCTTCAATTACAAGAAAACGTCCAACAATAAAACCGCCTGCGAGTACGTCTAGTGAAGATTAAATAATTCTAATTTATTGACAAAAAAGTGTTTTTTTCCTTTTTAATTAATTATATGAAATGTAATTTTAATGATATTGTTGCTAAACAAGTTAAAAAATACTTTATTTTAATTGAAGTGCTTAAAAGTTAAAATTACTATAATATCGAAATATTTGCAATTAGGATGAAAACATTTATAAAATTGATATAATCAATAAACAAAGAAATATAAATTTCAGGTTTTATTAAAAGCTAAGTTCTATGTACTTACATGTAACAGTGCGCATGAAACAGTACGTGCCAAGAAATTCTAATGGAATCGAATATATTTTAAAGCTTTGATCGAAACCTACACGGCCAAGAAATATCTACACGGCTTCACGAGATCCATTTTTCAAATAAGCCTTTGTATGAAAGTTATTATACAAAGCTCTCAATATAGGGGCTGCAAATACTGAATTTTTTCTTGAGGATAGGTTGCAATACTGACCAAATAAAGTAATTATATTTTGTAATCGAGCGCAAAGTATTTTCCAAATCAAATAATAGAAATTTATATATATGTATACATAATACTATAGATTTTTGTTTATAGAAAAGAGAAAATCAAATCAGTTCACTTACTGCAGCATTTAAGGTTATGTATGCTTGTATATTTCAAGAGTAAATATCTAGTATTAGTTTGGTGAAATCCATATTTCTATACCTACAGTTTCTTTTTTAACTACGATATTAAGAAAGCAATATCTCGGTACCTATTTTTTGTTATGTCAAGGCTTATTTTGACATTTTATTATTTCGATTCTCGAAATTATTGATTCAAATTAAGGTTTTTCAATAAACAAAAAACTTTATGCTCGATAAATATTTTATTAATATGAAATATGTATAATAAATATTAAGAACTTATTCTGAAAATGACTATTTCTCAATATATTAACAATCAATATCTCAAAATAGGGATTTTCGCATTTGAACAATATTTTGCTTTGTTGCCATTTAGAGTTTTTATAAAAATCATAACAGCAAAAACTTGTTGTTTAAAAAATTATGTCTAATTTTTTTTAAATAATGATTATTTTAAATTCTTTTTTAATATTTACATAAAAAGAATATTCAAAGCAAGTGCAAGACAAATGTTCAAGCTTATTTTAACATAGCGTACTTTTGACAAATTAAATTTTCCTCACAGATTGTACTATCAATAGCAATTTGGCAATATGAATATAATTTTGGCATTACTAGTTACGTATGTTGAATAAAAAAAATCCAACACCATTTGAAAATGGCACTTTCAGCTGTTTTGCAATTAACTGTCATTCAATATGAATAATTGATTGGCTGTTAATTGAAATATTTGAGTTTGCAATCACATTTTGAATAAAAATACAAACTGTTGAATGAAAGCATTTTTTCACCATCGTTTTTTATCATCTTTATTATAAATTTCGCTATTAGAGGCGCTGTTGTCATCATTTTAACGTCAAAGTCAAAAGATGCAAGAAAAAATAACAAACCAAAAACGAAGAGTTAAATAGAATTCACTGGTTAATTAAACGTACAAGAAAAGTTTTAAAAATCCGTATCGAGTTTGCGAGCAAAATAATAAATTAAATATTTGTCAAAATATTCAAAATATAATCAAAAATAATTATATGGAAATTGAACTCAATAAACAAATTAAAATTAGTAAAAAAAAATATTTCAAATGAAAAATATTTAAAGAAAAAATAAAAAATTGTTAGCTTGTTTTTTTTTTGGCCAGAGAGTAAAAATATTTTTTTTTTTTTGACCCGTGAAAATTTTTGTGTGCAAAAGTATGGAGAATATAAATAAAATTTTAAATTAGAATGGAGAAACTTGACATAGGTATTTTGAATATTGAAAAAAATTTATTTAAGTGTTCTTTAATTAAAATATATTTTTTTTATAAAGTTTGTTGAAAAAGCAAAGCGTTCAAATAATTATGGATACGTGTTAAAAATTTAATGGAAAACATAAATTTTATTCCGTTTATCTTAACATTTATTTCGTCGATATCCATTTTGTTTTCGTTGTAGAAAAACTCGAAATCAAGTTCAATATATTATTATGGTGGAATGGAATGAATAAGTGAATTATTTACATTTAGATAGCGCCTTTTAATTGGATTAGTTGTTTTGAAGTTTCTATTTGGGAAAATTTTTTTTAATTGTTTTAAAATATATTTTTGGTTTACATTTTGTCGATAAAAATTTTGTTCTTGCGCTTTTTTTATATTTTTGGTGTGGGGATAGGGTAGTGTATTAGGTACTTTGGCACCCACCTACCTGCTGGGTATATAAATATGTACATTGTTTGTGTATATAATGATATCTTGGGTATCCTTCTATGATTTTATTATTTGATTATATTGAACATTGTCTAATAATATTTACAATATTTCTAATTGTGTTAGTATAAATGTATGTATGCAATTGTAAAAATATTGAGTGATAACATAACAATAGAATTGTCTAATTAAAAATCTATTTTATTTAATTAAATAATACTCGTATGTAGGACATTAATAATATTATGTATATACACGTATTTTCATACATAATACTATTAAATGGGATATTTTGATAACGCGTTAAAAAGTGTTTGTTTAGTTTTTACTATAAGGTCATTTCTGTTGAATTACTAATACTTAATTTTTGAAAAGTTCATTTTATATATCGTCGGTTAAGAAGCAGAAAGCATTAAGTCAGGGAACTGTGTTTTGAGTAAATTCAATTTGAAAAAATCGTAAAATTGTAAAACTAATCAATTAGTGCAATTCGATTGGTCTCTTTAATTTCTGGATTTATAAACTATATTCTGGATTTGAATGATTTTTTGCCACAACAAAGATTATATTATTCTGATTTAATTCATATTTGAAATCCAAATTCTAAAAAAATGCACTTAGTGCTTTCTGCTTTTTAACCGACGATATTATATTGTTAATACCCATGGGTTCTTTTTTGATATGAATAGTTTTATATATCGACATACCCTTAGACTGTTCATATTATTATTTATAAGTACTAAGATATTACAAATATGCAATTGTAAGCATTAATTGTAGTAATGCTGTGATAAGTGGAAATATTAGTTGTGGGTACCTACCAGCGTATATGCCTACCTAAGAAATAAATTTTCAATTTTAAAATTTTCAAAATTTTAGAAATAATTTTTATAATAAATTAAATATTCTTTATTGAACAGTACGACTGTAGATAATTTCTATGACCAAATAAATATTAATTGTTAAAGAAGTCGCAATACGAGCTAAATTGGAATAATTCCCTTTGACAATTTCACTGATACATCACCCTGCCTCCTGTTATTTGCTTCTATTTTATATTAAGAGTACATTTGCAATCAAAATTACAAAACTTTGTCTGAAAATAAAAAAGTTATTTGTATAAAATATGCAAGCATAACGAAAATTTGCCAACCTTTACTTTTAACCTGTGACATACAAAATGCAGTGGAAAAAGTGTGTACTACAATTTAACTGCAGTATTAATAAAAAACAATTACATTTAAAAAAAAATGCAATGTAGTTTAAATATTTTGGATTTCTATATCAGTTGCAGTTGAGAACAAACGAATTTCGTTCCCAAATATATTGAAAATATATTAGTTAGCTATTAAGATGTTAAATCTGGCACGAAAGTGCTAAGCAAATTTGCTTGGTCCAAATTTGCATGACAGATACAGTGTAGTACTACATTAATACTGCATTTTGAATGCCTGGGTATGTTTACTTACCCACATGAGTAAACATGCTCTGACCAGTGTTCCCATTAGGTAAAGATAAAATATATCCAATTTCAAAAATAAAATCTATTCAAAATGTATCCAGCCTCTTAATGTAAAATGTAACTGAGTTGTCTTATTTTGTACAAATAAACTCATAATTAATATTAATTTTCCCTTTTTTTAATAATGTGAGTTTTGTTATTTATAGTAAATTCTTTAAGAAATCACACGCAATTTCTATTGTATTTTAAATGTAAAAGCTAAAGTCAGAAAATACATATGTATATGTTCTGTAGTTGTTGAACTATGCGATAAAGGCGATTCATCATAAAAACGGACAAATTTTAAAAAATATGAACACCCAATGCATTTTCTGTTACACTTAGTTCACACCAAAATATTTCTGGCACGTTATTGTCTTAATGTTCTAGATTTAAATACAGGAAGAGAATACAAATGAGTACCTCTAATTTAATAAATTATCTTTCTTACTTTCTTCTCACAAATTTTTTAATCTGGTCAGTTAAGCCAGCAAATAAAATTCTTTTGAAGATAATGCAATTTTGCGATTTAATATTAGAAGCATTTAGTGTTTGAAAAAGAAATGCATTCATATTTCAGGAAAATTTTCAAATGTAGCCAATTTCGGCATTTTAGCAGATTTTAGTATCTTTGTATCCACACTAAATTTAAAGTGAAAAATGTATCCAAATGGATACAATTATGTGGGATACATCCATGTGGGAACGCTGGCCCTGACATCAAAAATACCGTATGTGCCCGGAAATGTTATTATTTTGTTAAGTTAAAGTTTTGTTTATGTTAATAAAATTGCTGAAATTGTAAGTGTATACTTATATTTTTACGTGACATTACCGTATGTAATTCTAATTTAAAGTAAAATACAAATTTCCTTATGCTTACACACTCTTTTTTTTTTATTGCCTTGTTATTGAATTCAATTTATAATTTAATTCCTATTTTGCCATTGAATTAAGCATGTGTGCTTTAATCCAAAAACAAGATTTTTGCGTATACCCTGCCTATTTAATACTTAATGACTAGCGTTTAATTCAAAACAAATAAAAGCAAATATATTTTATTCTATATTTTTAATAGTTTTTTTTTTCATTTTTTAATAACAGTCTTATGAACTTAATTACTTAGTCACATAATCGTTTAGCTAAATGAGAAAAAAAAAATTAACATCACAAGATCTAGTAAGAGCTTATAAGCTAAATGTAAAATTAAACAATTTTTAATTAATTCATTGAATATTTCAAAACTCATGTATGTATGTACATACATATGTAGGTTATTATTGTTAAAAATTTTCGCGTTATCGTTGCAGT